TGTTAAAGTTGCTGAAAGTGTTCACTGCACATGTGCCATAGACAATGTACATATGCAAAAAAAATATTGCTAGCAAACAGGTCAAGGAGTTTTTTGGCAAGTCTTTACCATAAAAACTCTACCTGCAAGCATTTTGTTTTACAACTTCAGCTCCGCTTTAAGATCATGTAGACTTCTCTCCAGCCAGCAAGTGGAGCTCTGCTTCCTTTTCAGCATTTCAAAGCACTGTATTAAAGTGACGCTGAACTCAGGAGTTAAATAATAAAAATGTGTTCAAGTACCCTATTACCATAATGTATCTTTTTTGTGCATCACTCGGCAATAGATCCTCAAATTATCTCTGAATTCATGCTGACACTGTCCTTCCTTCTGGAGGGTGGCTACTTTTGTTTTTAATGGTCCCTGTGTGTGTTATAAAGTAGCCTATAATAGAAGTCACCAGCACTCGATATGTGCAAGAAGTAAAGCACTTTTTTATTGAATTGTCACATGCGTCAAACAGCAAACGTTTCGGGGCCACGCAAGGTGCCTTCTTCTGGGCGACATAGTGACTAGTGTTATAAAATAGCCACTACTCCAAGCTCGCTCTGGTGATGGACTACATTTAGATAACTAATTTGTATAGAAGTTGAAGTCCATCACGGGGGTGAGCTTGAAGTGGTGGCTACTTTACAACACACACACAGAGACCATGGGGAACAAATGATTTGAGGATCTACAGCCGAGTGATACAGAAACGAGAAACATTGTTAATTGTTAGGCCTTGTTCACACCGAAAGCGTGTGCGTTCCAGAGCGGTAGCCTCTCGAACACACCGCAATCCCCAAGAAACTTCTCCCCGCGTTCTGGGGCGGGAGGGGGTGTGGTGGTGCATTGAATTCAATGGCACCACTTCCATGCCCCCCCCCACCCGCAGTGCGATCGGACGCGTGGCAAGACTTTGCCAGCGTTCCGTTCCACTGCAAACGCAAAACAAAGGGCTTGAACAAGCCCTGAAGGTACTTCAATGTATTTTTAATGTTTAACTTCTGAGTTTAGTGCCACTTTAATCCCTGCAGTGTTAACAATGGATATAACACAACAGTTTAAAAATACGAATAAAATAGTCCCAAAGGCATCATATTTTCTTGTGTTGGCGCACACTGTGTGTCCTTGTCTACCCTCACCATTAAATTAAAGCACAGAAATAAAAGCTCCTACTGGTTTATAGATGAGCAACCGTTGCTGTACTAGATCAAGACCTGCTCAGCTATGACATTCTGAGGAGAAGAAGTGGCAGCACATCACTTACCCATTAGACCCACAAATATGGGTTCTTCATTTTCTAAAACTGAATTGATTTCAGGTAAGATTCAGAAACAAAAAAAAACTGTGCTTAAGAGAGTTTTTCTTTAAACCGAAAATCCCTTTAAACCACTATTAGAAGTAAATTCGGCTATTTAACTTCAGTGCAATCATTTTTACAGTTCGTTATCAGGCTCATATGAAAATCTGTAACCATAAGCTTACACTTTTAAAGAAAAAAAATTATTCCCTAACCATCCACAATTAGAAAGCTAGTTTTCCTAACTTCATGCCTGAAAATACACCAAAGTCAAAACTATTGCTATAACCAATAAAAATCAATTATGTTTAAAAAAAGGGTACTGGCATTAAATATAAAAAGTTAAGCTACATAAAGTATACAAGTCTCTTTCGAATAGAAAACTTTAACACATTGTCAGCATCACTACAGGTCACATTTAATGCCCTGAGATCGTACTCCTAGGATTTTGTGAACATTTAAAACAAACAACTCACTTTATTATACCCATTCCTTGATGCAGACGTTACGCTAAGATGCACAGTCTGGTTATTACATCTCTTATGTAGAATTGTGGCATTAGGGCTGAAATAAAACAATTTGAAAGAAAAGTACTTATCTCACATCTAGCTTCTGCACTGGAGAGGGTGATGTCATGATTCTTTAATCCTGGGAACACTGACTTGGGAAAACCAGCAGCACAATGGCTTAGTGGTTAGCACTTCTGCCTTTTGGGGTCCCCGGCTGAAACTCACCCAGGACACTATCTGTATGGAGAGCACATGTTCCCCCTGTGCCTTTAGGTACTCTGGTTTCCTCCCACACTCCAAAGACATAATGGTTGTTTAACTGGCTCCAGTCTACAATTGGCCCTAGTATGTGTGCATGCGAGATGGTCTTATATTGTAAGCTCCTTGAGGGAAGGGAATTATGTGAATGTACAATATGTTGGCATAGATAGAAATAATAAATGTGACATCACCCTCACCTAGGTGCCGCAGGCTGTAAAGTTTCTCTTCTAACTTTTCTCCAGACTTTCTTTTTTCGTTAAGACCTAATGCTGTGATTATACATATTGCAGAGGCTGAATGTAATATGTGGACCCTGCATTTTAGAGTGGTCTGCTTTATATATTGGACCAATTGTGCCACAATATTCACATCAATGGATTTTTTGGGAAAGGTAGCAAATAGGGCAGTGAAGCAGCTACAATCCACAAAAACCAGACATGGCTTGGACTGGTTGTTGGGATGGGTTATTGTACTCTGCACAGTCACTGCAATCTGCATTCCCTTTCAAATGACATCTGTACATGTAAGGCCAGTCATATACTAACATTAATAGCAATAACCCATGTAGTAATAAAATTTCAATTACATCTGAAAATCTGCCTTGATTGCAGATCGGTACCTTATGTAAGGGCTACGCAGGTGATAAAATCACTTTACTCTGCAAAATTAAAGCTCATCTCTGGGCAAAAAAAAAAAAAAGTACCTTTGCAATGGGGCTAACCCGGCACTGCAAGCATTAAGTGCTCATTTTTGTTTAGAGCTGGAGTAAAGCAGAATTTACTTACCTGATCACCGCTCCACCGGCAATCAGCGCTCCTTGCCCCTGGCTAGTGGAATGCCCCTTGGCGTCCTCATATACAATGTAGGTCTATGGAACCTGCATTAGACGTGATGAACACAGTGGTCCTTAGACCACTGGAGCTTAGTGGAGAAGGGTCTGCAGGGACTGATGTAGCAGCCTGAAGGGAGCAGGCAGAAGCTGGGATTAGGTAAGTTAATCTGCTTTATTCCAGTCGCTAGACAAAAACAAGCACTCAAACCATGCAGTGCGGTTGGGTAGCCCACCACTGCAAGGGTCCTTTTTTTTTGTTTGCCTGGAGACCAGTTTTAACCATTTGTTGGCAGCAACCTTATTTGGAACACATTGGAGCCAATATGCTGCTAAAGAGAGAATAATAAACAAATTGTTAAATCTCTCAGTAGCAGACAATCATTTGTGTAGCATGTCTGTCTGTGTGCTCAGTCAAACATGTTGCACAAAATGAAGCGTTAGGCGTCACAAGGTTTTATATCCCTGCTCTGAACAAACCGTGACAAGAATAAGATAATCCTGAAGGCTTTTGTATGACGTTTGAAGCTATTATTACAGTCATCCATGATGTACTTTAGTGGTTATTTGGCCCAAATGTAACAAATTACATAATAGGTATCTAGTGAATAACTTTCTGAAGTAACTGGACCCTAAATTGACTAAAAAGGCAGGTGGAAAGAAATGAAGTTTCAGACCAAAATGCATTTGCATCTATCTAGTCGTCACAAACCCTAAGAGAGACATGCGAAGTAAAATACATATCAAATCTTACATCAGACTGGCTCACATTATAACATTAAGAATAAATATGAATACAAAATATAAAATACATGGTATTTCTGCAGATTTACACAAAACCCGACTGCTAGGAGGATACATAAACTTAAGAGAGTACAAAATTAACAATAGAAAAATGGCACTTTAGATTTTTTTTTTCTACCTGTACATATTTTGTGCAGTTTCAATTCATAACACTGGATAGTGATTCAAAAAAGGAAGTGGGATACAAAAAACAAACATAATACAGCATTGACGGGAAGAGACAAGCAGTGGTTTCCTGAGGAGATACACAAGGGATTTGATGGATTGTGTGAGAAAACTACAGATTTCAAGAGGAAACCAAGGCAAGCAGCTGATCCATGATTGTAAAGTGTTTCTACTACAGATCATCACCTTGCAGCTATACAAACATGCATTGATTGATATGCTGACACCATGAAATTATATTACATATTTTGTCATCTTCTCAGTGACTTCTGAATGTACACATTTTGTAAGGTCACATACTGTATTTTTTTGTACCAATGTCAAAAAAAGGATAGCTTAAAACAAAGCGGTTTCTTAATCAGCAGTTCATCTACATTGGATAAAAAAAAGAATAAAAAAAGAAAAAGTATGTGCAAATTGAAGTTCACTAGCAGCAACCAGATTCCAGCTATTATTTATCTTGTGCAGGATAAAAATGAAGCAGTAAATCTGAATGGTCGCTCTAGGTAACACTTCTTCCCTTCCTTTCTCTATTCCTTTTTATATGAACTCCAATTACCGAGGACAGATTTGTGTAAAGGAGAACTCCCGCCCAATGACAAAATGCAGCAATTATTATACATTTTGCAAATTCACTAGAGTGGTTTTTGTATACAAGAAAATACATAATAGTCCAAATAATAATAGGAAATATAGTCCATAGGCAGCTATTACACATTGGAGTTCAAGCCTACAGCAGTCCCTCCCAGTAGAAGAAGCCTGCATACCTGATATACACCGAACCATCACTGCATGGGCACTGCTGCAGCTTACAATAAAGACATTTCTAAGCTACATAACCTGATGTCATGCATTATTCTTGACAGGAGTTCTCCTTCAACCATAGCTTACATATGTGATTGCTTACTGACCGTTGAATCGATCAATGTTGAATTTCATTTGGCTGCTTACTAGCGGTCACCTGAAACTACATCTATATTGGTCAATTTATTTCACTGTGTATTATTGTAGAAAATGTTTCAAAGCTATATTTGTATACAAGATAACAATATTTCAATCAGGATTACACAGCTATAATGACCAGGTCAACTAGACCTCTTACTTTTCTTTGTACTGACAGTGCTGCAGTTTTTGTAATACCAATTTAGCCAGCTGCTCAGAAACTGGATAATGCTGCACAGTGTTTGTCACATGTAGGGAAGACAATGGGAAGAGTACACTGCCTTGATGCTTTCTCACCGGTGTTCTGCATGGTTCTAAGCATCACTGCCATGGACACATGTCTCACGGTCTGTGATGGGAACCTGGAAAAAAAGAGTAGAAAGAGGAGATGTTGATTTTAACATGAGACTGAAAAAAGGCTCTAAAATATATCATTGACAATCTGCTAGTCAGTCCCCCTCATATCATCAATTTGTAATTTGTCACTAACCATAGCTGATCGCCACAACAACCTCCTGGTCACAGCAATAGAGCTCATTGCATACTACAGTTTAGTTTTTCTGATTATAGGCACAAATGTGACTGTCAGCACTGGGATTATTTTGCTTTATCAATCTGGGAGTAGTAGATTATGAACCTAATACTCTTGTTGTGAGAATGATGAATGCAGAATGATTAAAAAAATGCAGGCCATGCAATGCCCTGATTACTACTAACATTGCCACATTAAAGAAAACCAGTTGTTTTAAATATAACAGCAAGCTGTTCCAGAATGTAACAACCTTTTAGCCTCAGAATTTGCAGCCATTTACATCTTATTAACTGAAGCCGGTTTCAGAAAGGGCTAAATTACATATATATATATACACATACACACAAAAAAAGCAGGCAGGACAGAGTTAAAAAAGTCATTGGGGTTAATCAGGGGTTGAAAAGTTTAAACTTTTTTATTTAACGTTTGCTGTATCTGAAATTACAGAAAAGATTATAGGAATAGCCAGCTATCTGCATTTACCAGCAGCAACTAGTTATAATGTTAAACAGTCAATGACATATCCATCAATGATTCCTCTGGCATAATGCACATGCAACGATCACTATTTTGAGACTGGCTTGTGATTATCATGCTGTTGTGCCAAATATATGATAAGTGCTTCAGGCAGTTAAAGCTGTTTAATGTGCAGGAATATTTTAATTTCTCTGTAAGTGGAGCCACAAAAGACTGAATGATCAGACATATTGCCCCTTGTGGTGCTGTCAAGATCATACAGGGATTACATCCGATCCCAGGATGCAACAGCCTTGTACAGGGATGGACAGACCTCATCAGATAGCATGTTTGGAGATGTAGCAGTATACTTAGAGTTATTGTTTGGGGCAGAAATGAGGAGACTCAGCTTAGCCAAAGCTGTAAAATTCAAGATCATTTTCTAATACATACCTTTATGAGAGGACTGAGACTTTGAACTGGGACGGGGTGAGCTGTGGGAGTTACGATTTGTGTAATCATTACTTTGATCTTCATTGTAATCTTCATCTGGAGGGGGAGGGAGAGGCCTGTTCGACAAGAAATACAACATGCATTATTTTAGGGCTTACACAATACCAATACACAAATATACTATTGTAATAACCTAGAATCCAGAGTTGACAAATTAAAGTGCATACTGTTAATTGCATAAGATAACAAATAATGTTTAAAAGGGATTTTCCACCTTCCCCAAAAAAGTAGAAAACGCCTATGTATCCACACAGATGATGATTTGTTACCAATTTGTTACTGACTTCCACCTCGGACATTAGCGGTTTCAAGTGCAGAGAAAACTCAAGTTTTGAGACTGCTACAATTCAGAGCAACTTGGGATCTAATTAGCACAACAGAACTGCCAATAAGAAAACAACTCACAGCATTGATTGTTCCATTATAATAACAAAAGATAATTCAGTGCTGCAGGGCACTGTGCCTATCAGTAGCAGCCTGTAAACATACACAGCCCGGCAGATACTGAGTGATGTTTTACCATTATGAATGAACGATTGGAGCCGCCGGGGTCAGTGCCATTTATGATAAAGCCCCGCAAGCACTGCCTATTCAATCATCATAGTAAAAGATCACTCAGTGCTGCGGGGCTGCGTGATAGAACTACTGGGGCCATGCATTTACAAGCAGCTACAGATATACAGATCACACAGCCTGTGGGCTTTGTGTCTAAATGGCAGTGCTGGTCTCCAGAATACCCCCTACTGCCAAAAACCAGCGCTAAATCTCCAAATTTTGGCTTGCTAACAGAGTGGTTGGACAGTACTGGGTAAACGATCTGTCCATGCTGCTTAGCAATGGCAGGATGGATATGAACAAGACCAAGTGTGATATGGTGCTCTCTCTTAAAAAGTGCTAGAGTTGTCCTCTCTGTCCAAAATGTCCTCAAAAGACCTATTGTCAAAGGTATCAACTCTGTCACATAAAACATTGCTAAGTATCTGGCTACTATCCTTTCACCCTTAGCTGGCAAAACGGTACAACATATTCAGAATTTGACAACAAGGTACATAAAATAAAATTTGAGCCAGAAGGGACATTGGTGTCCTAGGATGCTGCATGCCTTTTACTTGTATATCAACTGCAGAGGCAATTGAGACTGCAAGGAAATGTCTGAAATTAGTTAGGACTCTTGATATTAGAACAGAACTCAAGCCAGGCCACGTTTGTCCCTTGCTGGACCTTTGTCTCAACACCATTTCTTTCAAGTACTCGATTAACTTCTACATACAAAAACCAGGCTGTGCTATGGGATCACCTGTATCTCCTATTGTAGCGAACCTGTGTATGGAAGATGTAGAGAAGAGAGCCTTGAACTCTTTCATGGGAATAACACAAGTTAATGTATGTGAATGACACATTGATGATTAAAACATTGTAAACGTAATCTTTCATCCCTACAAACTAATTTCCAAAAAATTAAGTTTACATGGGAAAAAGCACAGAATGGCAAATTTCCTTTTTTGGACTGTGTGTTACATGTCAAGGGGGGCGACTTGTTCAAAAAGGTCTTCAGAAAACCAACCCACGCCGAGCAGTATCTGCTATTTGACTCACACCACCCACTGGACCACAAACTGGGGGTTGTCAGAACTCTGCAACATCAGGCTAAGATGGTAGTAACAAAACACAACGTCTAAAAGAACACAGACATCTCAGGGGTGCTTTGAAAGTTTGTGGCTACCCAGGGTAGGCTTTCATTAAAACATCCACAAGGTAGATGCAACCTCCTACAGTTACTTATGGCTCTGCAAGGTTAATGAGATAAAAGATATTGAGGATCTTACCCTTGCTCTTCACAATAAAGAGGAACAGTTTAAGAAAACTTGGTTCTACTGGCATAAATTCAACTTCACCTCAGAATCATTTTCCCTCTCGTCTAACCCAGCCCCCTAGTGCTCATTACTGGCCTGCAGTTAGCCTTCATAATGTCACTAGTGATTCTCCTCGGCTCTCGGGTTGTGCAGTGCTATTCCCCTTGGTCTACCATGACTTTTCCTCTCTAATGAACCCTCTTTCTCCTCCTCACTAGTCCTGCTCTTATGTGTTATTTTATTTTCTCCCTACTTTGTTTACTAGGGGTAACCCTAGACCCTGCTCAGATTATGTTTCGGACATTGGTGTAATTTTGATATGTAAAACCCTTTACCCTTTTTCTTTCCTGTACTCCCTGTGGAAATTAAAAAATGCCTAATAAAACATTTGCCAAAAGGAAAAACAAAAATATCCACAAGGTCAAGCAAAAACACAGAACCATCAAACAAAAGGGGAGAAGCAGAACACATGGAGTAAGATAGCCATGCAGTATATAGCTGGAGTGTTGGAAAAACCCAAAAGAATCTTTAAAAAGGAGAACTATGGGGTTAGGGCTTTTCCCCATAGTTCTCCTAAGGGTAACGGGAGGACACAAACTAGCGTCCTCCCGTCAACCTAAGCTCAGTATACCGCGAGCTACAGCTTGCGGTATACTGAGACGCCGCAGCTGAAACGGATCCCGACATTTATGTCTGGATCCGCCCAGCTGCGTGAGTGACAGCTGGCTCTGCCTAACTAGAGGCAGAGCCAGCTGTACCCGCCCCCTCCAGTCTGTCCTGCCAGTCAGCGCTGCAGGATCGGAGCCATGACAGGATCGAGAAGTGAGCGAACGCCGGTATGTGTTCGGTGACTTCCCGATCTACTGAGCCGACCTGTGACAGTCTCATTCGGCTAGAACTATGAGGATAAGTGAAAAGCACTCGCCTCATAGTTCTCCTTTAACACATTGCATCCTGTATCTTTCAAACCTAGCAATACACTGAGACAGATGTTTTTACATCAAAAAAGGCTCAATGCCAAAACTCAAGCAAAGTAATTTAGTATACTGTATGAAGTGCAGTGTAGTGAGGATGCAAAGACCTGCACACTGGGGAGACAAAAACAACCTCTCAACAAAGGAATGGCCCAACATAGGAGGGCAAATTCTAAAAGTCAAGTAAAAAACATACATTCTTTTGAGGACAGTGATGTGCGCATTTTTGACAGAGAGAACAACTGGTTTGCAAGAAGCGTGAAAGAGGCCATCTACAACAAACTGGAACAACAATTTAGGTGGGGGCCTTCATCCTCATCTGTCTAAACACGTACATTGCATTTTAACATCTCTACCCCTGATTTTACAGCAATTCACACCTTCAGCCATTGTAAATTGAAGGATTACCACATATGGATTAAGGTGACTGTGGAAATTAGGAGGATATAGATGCTGTGGTACATTCCTGACATGCTCATTACTGGCCTGCAGTTAGCCTTCATAATGTCACTAGTGATTCTCCTCGGCTCTCGGGTTGTGCAGTGCTATTCCCCTTGGTCTACCATGACTTTTCCTCTCTAATGAACCCTCTTTCTCCTCCTCACTAGTCCTGCTCTTATGTGTTATTTTATTTTCTCCCTACTTTGTTTACTAGGGGTAACCCTAGACCCTGCTCAGATTATGTTTCGGACATTGGTGTAATTTTGATATGTAAAACCCTTTACCCTTTTTCTTTCCTGTACTCCCTGTGGAAATTAAAAAATGCCTAATAAAACATTTGCCAAAAGGAAAAACAAAAATATCCACAAGGTCAAGCAAAAACACAGAACCATCAAACAAAAGGGGAGAAGCAGAACACATGGAGTAAGATAGCCATGCAGTATATAGCTGGAGTGTTGGAAAAACCCAAAAGAATCTTTAAAAAGGAGAACTATGGGGTTAGGGCTTTTCCCCATAGTTCTCCTAAGGGTAACGGGAGGACACAAACTAGCGTCCTCCCGTCAACCTAAGCTCAGTATACCGCGAGCTACAGCTTGCGGTATACTGAGACGCCGCAGCTGAAACGGATCCCGACATTTATGTCTGGATCCGCCCAGCTGCGTGAGTGACAGCTGGCTCTGCCTAACTAGAGGCAGAGCCAGCTGTACCCGCCCCCTCCAGTCTGTCCTGCCAGTCAGCGCTGCAGGATCGGAGCCATGACAGGATCGAGAAGTGAGCGAACGCCGGTATGTGTTCGGTGACTTCCCGATCTACTGAGCCGACCTGTGACAGTCTCATTCGGCTAGAACTATGAGGATAAGTGAAAAGCACTCGCCTCATAGTTCTCCTTTAACACATTGCATCCTGTATCTTTCAAACCTAGCAATACACTGAGACAGATGTTTTTACATCAAAAAAGGCTCAATGCCAAAACTCAAGCAAAGTAATTTAGTATACTGTATGAAGTGCAGTGTAGTGAGGATGCAAAGACCTGCACACTGGGGAGACAAAAACAACCTCTCAACAAAGGAATGGCCCAACATAGGAGGGCAAATTCTAAAAGTCAAGTAAAAAACATACATTCTTTTGAGGACAGTGATGTGCGCATTTTTGACAGAGAGAACAACTGGTTTGCAAGAAGCGTGAAAGAGGCCATCTACAACAAACTGGAACAACAATTTAGGTGGGGGCCTTCATCCTCATCTGTCTAAACACGTACATTGCATTTTAACATCTCTACCCCTGATTTTACAGCAATTCACACCTTCAGCCATTGTAAATTGAAGGATTACCACATATGGATTAAGGTGACTGTGGAAATTAGGAGGATATAGATGCTGTGGTACATTCCTGACACGTATAAAGCACTGAGAAATTGGCTTGGATAAGATATGAAACATCTTTACCATGACAGTAGGTGTCCAGTTGTATGAGACCATACCATAACTATACCATGACCTGTATAAATGAGAACCTTTGCATATGTATCTGTGGATGAACACTCTTCGCACCTATGGACAACAATACAGAACACCTCCCCTCTCCATAACATGGGAGGGAAGTCTCCTGTAGTTCACAAACTGAACTGGGAACAATACTAGCTGATAACATTCAGCAAATTCAAAGAGCACAAGAAGTTATTCGCACACAAGAATTCTGGCAGAATCAACATGTACTTTTCCACTTATTAACCAGGTATACCAAAATGCTTTCCATGGTATATTTCACAGACAGAAAGGGAGCAAAGAAGAGAAGTTCATTGTTAGGGTTTACAAACACAGAAGCATATTTTCAAGTGTTTACGTCTTGGCGGCAACATGGAAGATGACGTTACCCTTTCCATCACCTTTACATTTAAATTTTTAAAAGCAAATTTAAACCCCCAAACAAAAGTATTAAAGTGACATTAAACCCTCAGATTTTTTAACATAAAATACTGTAATGTGTGCTTTACTGTAATCCATGGTGGTTTCCCTTCTCTTTGCTACTCTTCCTTTCAAATCTGTATCTGTTCTCATGCTGGGCAGAACTTCTGTTTTGCAGCAGACTGCCATGTCTCAGGAATGGATACACAGTGTCTGTGTATAGATTTGTATAGGCTTGTAACCTGAGCAAGCACTACAGGGAGAGGCCCTGAGCTGAAAAGGGAAGTTCTCCCCAAGCATGAGAAGACATAAGGATTTAAAAGGAAGAGCAGCAAAGAGAAGGGAAACTACCATGGATTACAGTAAGGCACACATTACAGTATTGGTTTATGTTAAAAAAATCTGAGGGTTTAATGTCACTTTAATAGATTGTAGCCAACAGTCACACGATGCACTGGCTGCATTCGTTTTCTTTTTTCAGGATTCTTCTCCCGTATTTTCACTTGATGATCCAGTGAATAACACTTTCAGTCCTAGAGTGCCTACAATAATTCACCCAATTGCATCTATAGAGAGCCACGATTGTCACCCAGGCTGGACTCCCCATCTCCATTAATAGTACAAAAGGAATAGAGCTGCAGCTAACGATTATTTTCAAAATCGATTAGTTAGACGATTATTACGTTCGATTAATCGGTTAAAAAATAAAACGCATTTTAAAAAATGGCTCCAGTGATGGGACTACTGGTTTGTATTGAGATTGCAGTCCATCACAGGAGCAACCTTGGAGCGGTGGAAGTAAAAAAAGAAAAAAAAAAAAAGTGTGGTGTGCAATATAGTGAAATGAAAAGTTTAAAATTATACAGCAATTAATGCAGAATGGCATCGGCTATAGAGGACAATGAGGTGGGGAGAAGGTGTGGCACGCAGCATGTGTGGAGCCGTGAACAGGGCCAACCAATCCGAAGCCGATTAATCGATGATTGAAAAAGTTGACAACTTTTTCAAGCCGCGCCAAGGCACCTCTGCAAAGTGTGGTCCTAACTCTATTAAAAAGGAATATACAATTGTTTGTGCTTTCAGTTCAGCTCACAGGAAGTGAGAAGGGCACAATCAAAAAGGTATTCAAGTTCTTCTTGAAAATGGTATTAGCCTGAAAAAGGAAAACTAATGTAGCCACTACATCTAAGGTCTGAGATGCTTCAATATACTACATTTTTGTTCTTTGTTTTAGATATCTCTTAAGATTGCCAGTTGATAGTTGACAGAAAACTGCACTTCTTTGTAATAGTACATGTCTATTAGTTCTATACAGCACACAATCCAAACAACATAAAATGATGTCCCCTTGCCTGTATGGTTTGTCACTTTTGGAGCGCTGATAATCATCCTTTGACCGTGGTCGAACATGTTCATGTGTACTTAGCTGAAACAAAAAGTATGTCATGATTGCAACCAAAAGGACCATTTTAAATACGAGTTTATACATATGCATGTAAGGGTTACACAGTATTGATAGGAATACAGGACTTTTGTACATACAATCCTTTTCTTGGTGTTCACAAGGGGACACAGGGTTAATTATGAGACAAGAGGGTTATACTGCTGCCTGCAAGAAATTGGACACTAACAACAAAGCAACATTGGCAGACATGGCCCATGCTGGCTGTTGCCTTTAGTGACGGTCCTCCAGGTATACTACAAATGAAGCAGAGCAAGTACAGGAGTTAGTACCTTGGTGAATACCTGAAGTGCAGTGGACACACTGAAGGGAAGGGCAAAAAACTGGTAATGATGGCACGGGATGAAGATTAGCCACCCGAGGGACAAGAGAAAGAGGATGGAAAGCATACCTCAGGGAAAAATCCCAAGTTTGAGATAAGGCATCTACTCCCCTGGAGTCCCTTTCTATCGAAAGAGGGAAGAAGGTGGGCACCTTCCTATTTGCTCTTTTCGCAAATAGGTATACCTCTGGTATACCCCATCTGCTGATAATCACATCTGAATGAAGCTCCCATTCACCCTGATAGACAGGCCTGTAACTCAGATAATCTGCTACCACATTGGACACCCTCCTTATGTGGACTGCAGAAATGGAGAGCATGTTTTATACTGCCCAAAGAAGAATGTCCTTTGCTCGGAATACCTAACACTTTGTCTTCTGTCAGAATAAATCTTTTGTGCTACTGAATCTATCAGATAACTAGAAATACTCACTAAACTCAGAATCCACCCAAGAGTCTCTAATATAAAAACACAAAAAGAATCCCCAGCACACCTGCCAGCTGGCCTGCAACAATACAAGTTTCCCTGTCAACAGTATGCGTTAAAAGCAGAGGTTGCACAAACCTTTGGCCAAAAATATGTAGAAGCCACACCGCCGCGCCAAGGCACCTCTGCAAAGTGTGGTCCTAACTCTATTCATGAGTCTCCATGTTGGAGCATATTAATGCAGATGTACCTGGAGGTAGCCTACTCCTCCTCTCCTTTTCTGTTCTTTTTGTGTTTTGTATTGTTGTAAGCCTTCCCATGTGCACCCTGCCACCAAGGCTGGTTATACATTTATGCGGTTACCATTCCTTTCTAGTTTCAATATTCTCTACTGTCTCCCTGACCTCCACTTCTGTGGAGACAATAGAAGAATATCGTCCAAGTAGGGGATCACTGAGATTCTCTGATGGTGTAAGATAAGCTATCACCTCTGCCAAAACATTTGCAAAGATTCTTAGGGCAACTTCAAGAACAAAAGGCAAGGCTCTGAACTGATAATAAAGAACCCCCTTCTTTGAATACAAAATCTTTGGAACTTCTGATGTTCCAAACAAATGGGCACATTCAGATAGGCGTCGTTCAAGTCCAGGGTGATCATGAACACATTCCTTTGGAGAAGTCTCTGATTCGAACAAATGCGTTCCATCCTGAATCTTTTGGCCACCAGGAATCTGTTAAATTTTTTCAGGTTCAAGATCATTTTGAACTTGCCCACCAGCTTTGGCACCAAAGATCACAATCTAAAATGAGGGACAAGGAGGATGGGAGGGGTTTTTAAACTCTCCCGATTGTGTTTTCTGTAGATGAGAGAGCCAGTCATCTCTCAGGTTGCTGTCCTGGAAGATGACTGGGGAAAACTGTAAATCAGCCAAGTTGCCTGCTGCAACAAAAACATCTAAAAAAGGTAAGAAACAGTTTTTTTAAAAAATCCATTATGCTGCATAAATAGGAACATATAAAAAACACATAGAGGGGTTTCCCCCAACTTGATTGCAAAAGTGTAAATACACTTTAAATTTAACATGGTTGCAGACAATTTCTCAGTAAATAGCGCAAAGGGGGGTCACACTTTGGGGAACTCTAGCAGGGGGCATTTTTCCAGGCTGTTAGCGCAGGCAGGCACGCTACCAGCATCCACAGAGCCAATAATGGATTAGGAGCCAGCAGGGCCTACAGGACTGCTCCCTCTGTGTTTACGATCAGCCATACTGCCAAGTTCAAATGTGCAGGCCCCACAAGGGGTACTGACAGACCAACTACAGGGGTTGTGGAGGTTATCTGGCCATCTGTGCCTCTCAAAGGGCAGCAGGGAGCACCCTAATGATGGTCATGTGAGGATTGTGGTGATGGTGATGCTTAGGATAGGGTGAGAAAGCTGAGAGTGTGGACACATAAGAAGTGGCATGCACATGCGCAGTGGGGCTCACACAGACTCAGCACAGCAGGTGCCGGGCGCCAAGTTCATAATGGACCACGCAGAATCAGAAGAGTGTACACCAGATGGCAAATTCCACCAGAGGCCTGTGTCTGTAAAATAGTCCTGGCTGGAGTTCTGTTGCTGGCCCCTGCTGAGGCACAACCAGATCTAATGCGTCTCCCTTTCTTTAACTAACTTATAAAATCTAGGGATTTTCTTTAAGGTTTACACTCACCTCCTGATCATCTGACCTTTTCCGACCTTTAGTTTTCTTATAAGATTTTTCCTCTTTTTCCATTAACCAACGGGCTATTTCCTGGGGGAAAAAAAGTATTTTACTATGTAAACTGTCAACATCCAAATAATACATGAACAACAAGCAAAAGAAGCATTTAGTACAAATACAGTACATGGATTAAAGTTGAACTCCAGGAAAACAGCTAAATAGACAGATAATAGATTTTCTCTGTTTTAGAACACAACACTATTTTACCTCCACTCTTGGTTCAGTGACTGGACATAAATATGTATATTTTATACCAGTCTGGAGTTCTGCTTCAATATAGCACAGCACATTCCAACATCAAGTGCGTGCGCACACACACAAAAAAAAAATGTATGCCCCAGAGTAAGGGTTTATGTAACATGTATATAAATGCTCTATATGTGGGTATTTAGGATATATGATACTGAGAACTAAAAAAAGATAATACAGAATCATATTTTTCTTAACACAAGGCCATTCTATTTGTTTTTCTGTTTGAAAATGTGAATTCTTACTTCATCTTGTGCCATTTGTGCAGCTTTGTAATCCACAGTGTTGACCTGAAAGAAAATTAAACAAAGAGGTTTAAATTTAGCTCAAGAGGAACCAAACAGCAATATGCCACAAGCAAACACTATAGATCATATTTTTCTGCTGTGTCAGCTAAGACAATCTAATTAAATCGGAAAAACTGGATTGTAAGAACATAAATGAAATAAAAATTGATTCTCTTGAATAAATGCAGGGGCTCTAAGTAAGCATAGCTTTTACAACAATCATGAGTCAAGTAATAGCTAAATACTAAACAGGATGTAATTCTGGGGATCATTTAGATCTCCGAGTACCTGCAAACAGCCAAACGATGCCTCATGGTAACATATGGTAATGGTCACACAATGGTAACATAATGATAGGGTGATGAATAAACCCCTTTTGGGTGTGAAACACATCCAGCAATTGTTGACCCCCACATCACAACTGCATCCTTTAGTGATGTGAAGATCATCAGGAAGAACCACTGAACACAGCGTGGGACCAGGATTTTGACAGTAGTTTTAAAAGCGCTCGGTAGTGCTGGCAGCAAGGAGGAGAAGTATTTAATCTTCTTTTACAGGGCGAATTGTGTGGCCAGTCTTATTTATCTGACTGGGTCCAATAAATAAAAAGACAGTAGACTTGTTAGTAAACCCACGTAAAGTCCATGAACCCATCGCACTCAGAAACCGCAGTTTCCAAACAAATAAGGGTGGGTGCTTCAGTAGTCGATGGCGGGCGACCGTAGTAGATATCAAGTAGAATATGAAGAGACACCGGTACTCTTAATAGTAAATCAAATACGTCTGTTTATTGACGTATGAGTAGCATAGTGTGATGCAACATTTCGGCGTCACACAGGATCCCCTTCATCAGGCAGAACAAGTAAACCCCACACACTTAACTAGCCTCAGTAATGAAAAGCAGGCATCTTCCCTTACCTGTGTGCACCTTAGCAGAGATTAACTCCAGCAGCCCTAAATCCAAGGTGCAATATGTAATATGCAATTCTTGAATTTCATTATTAGGTTGAAAACTAGTTAAAAGGTTCCGGATTCATACTTTAGGGTGTTTTGTTTACCGACAGGTATACATTAAAAGTTGATCAAAATAATAGGATTTTGGTACTCACCGTAAAATCCTTTTCTCTCCGTTCATTGAAGGACACAGGGAACAGATCGGAGATCATGTACTGTAGGGACGTCACAGAGCAGTACCAAAAAAAAGGGGTGGGCCAACAATACCGTGACCCTGCGAAGATGCGGCAACAGATACAGTGGATGGAACGCGTAAATCAGACCGTAGCAATCCCACGGCACCACCAGGGCGTCCACCGCATCAATAAGGGCGGTCCCCGACTCGTCTTCACTACCAGACTCCGCCTGAGAGGAGTCCCCCTGGTCATGCTGCGCGGCCGCAGCAGAAATTTCCCCCTCTTCCTCAGAATCCCTAGAAAGGACCGATGAGGGGGCCGGCAAAGCGCGCTTCCGTGGGGGGCGCTGCGACAGCACGCGCTCCATACGGGACACAAAACTGTCCATGGTGGAGGAAAAAGCCTCAAGGATAACAATGCGCCAGCGGACCCCCCCAAAGACACCAAGGGAGACAGGGAGAGGGGCGCAGAAGCACAGGCTGCGCAAAGGGGGGATGTGGGAGAGGTCCCTGAAGAGAGGCCGCAGAGCACTGCGGTCAGTTTGTCCCCACATTCCATGTCCCCTGCAAAAAATATGCCACCAGAACCCCAGGCAAGGAAGGAGACCCCAGCAGGGACCGCCCCCGGCCGTAGGCAACCATGACCCGACTGTGCTGTGACTGGGCGGCTGAGACCCCCAGTCATATGCACCCCCCTGGGACGAACCCACAGGCCACCCCGCCGGAGCGGGGCTGTTGCAGCCGACCCACCGCAGCGGGCCTGCATACGCTCGCTGGTCATCCAGGGGAGACTCCAAGGATCCGAGACATCCAGCCTGTCGCCCGGACAACACTTGCTAGAAGAATCTTCTGAAAAAATCAGGAAGAAACAGGTAAGAATACAGAGAAAAAATTCTTAGCTCCTTACTCCTGATGCTAGGCAAAAAACTGGAGACTTGTCAGCAGGTGGGGGGTTTGGCCACCGGCAGGGGCCGCCCTTAGGCTGTAATTGGTCTTTAGTTTTTTTGTGCCTAGCGTCCTTCTCCTGGAGGTGGCGATATTACCCTACAATACATGATCTCCGATCTGTTCCCTGTGTCCTTCAATGAACGGGAGAGAAAACACATTACTTTATAACTACTTTCTGAAGTATGTTACATCTATACAGAAATAGGTAAGAAGTTGTTCAGAAAACAGTGGTCAAATTTTTAAACTGCAAAACAGAAATAAAGTTAGTTCACCTTCAGCTCTTCTTCCTGAAGCCTTCTAGCAATCTCAGCATCATCTTCATCACGGATTCTTCCACCTACGCAAAGTTTTCCTTGAGGACCATCTCGGTGTCCTTTTGGCCTATTACCTATGTTCGAAGTATACAATTATTAAAATAGTCACAGAAGTCCAATTTTTTAGTGATAGTTTTACCCTGTACCATATTAAATGTTATGGGCTGTGGAGTTAATGTTTATCTCAATTAACCCTGTTTGTACTTTGCTGGCAGATCTACTTATTTAGCTGTAAACTAGATTTGAATGCCGTCTGCCCCAACAAAGGGGGGAAAGGTCTCAATGTTTAGGCAGTGAATTTTTACAGTAATGCATTTTATCTCATTCTGTCCCCAATGATTGTTCAGAAGAGCTTGCAGTCCCGTGTAACTCCTACTCCAAACAAAACACTAGAAAATATAATTTTTTTTTTTTTTTGTATATGATATGTGAATGGGAACACGGAAACATAGTAGGAATTTCTCAAATTTGAAAAATCAATTTCTTAGCACGATGATAATTAACACATTTGGTGGATATATGTTCATAAATGTGTTCATAAACAAGTATAATATGTGAGTTGTAATAAGCTGCTTTGTAAGTTAAAGAGCAAACAGCAACAAGTCCTTAATCAGTTTTTGACCAATTTCAAATAGTGGAATTAGCTGCTGCGAGTTGTAGCACTAGATCACTGTTTTTTTTTTCTGCTCCACTAAATATGCCAAAAGTGCATTACTCGCCCCAAAGGATTTCAGTGGGCTTGCAGTCCCAATCTTTGTACATATTAGTGTTCGTACTGAATAGACTCATGGTGCAGGGTAAAGCTATACTAACAGTACACAAGGCAAAATATCAAATACAGGGCTCATGCAAGATAAATCAAATCTCAAAGATCAAGAGAAAGCAAAACAGAAGCAAAGGCAAAAATATAAAAGCACAATTAGAAATTAATATAACCTGCAAAACAAACAATGATTTAAAAATATTATTTCTAAAGATTTGGCTTGTAAGAAAAGTTGATCAGATGTTTGTTTAATGATGTGATTACTTAAATACCACCACTGCCACCACCACCACCACAATCCTCACCACAATGCTGGAAGCTCAGTTATACCTCCATCTGGTGTCTGCCTTTCATTGTTAGGAGAAGGTGTTCTCCGTCTGTGTCTTTCATTTTCATTATCACTCTGAGCTCTCTTTCTGTGCCTTTTATGTTCGTATTCACCCTCCGCTCCTTTTCTGTGTCTGTCATGTTCGTATTCACCCTCCGCTCCTTTTCTGTGTCTGTCATGTTTGTATTCACCCTCCACTCCTTTTCTGTGCCCTTTATGTTCGTATTCACCTTCTGATCCTTTTCTTTGCCTGTCCTGTTCGTATTCACCTTCTGATCCTTTTCTTTGCCTGTCCTGTTCGTATTCACCCTCCGCTCCTTTTCTGTGTCTGTCATGTTCGTATTCACCCTCCGCTCCTTTTCTGTGTCTGTCATGTTTGTATTCACCTTCTGATCCTTTTCTTTGCCTGTCATGTTTGTATTCACCTTCTGATCCTTTTCTTTGCCTGTCCTGTTCGTATTCACCCTCCGCTCCTTTTCTTTGCCTGTCATGTTTGAATTCCCCGTCAGCTCTCCTTCTGGGTCTTTCATGTTCATATTCACTCTCAGTACCTCTTCTGTCAGATCGGGAATCGGGACTATTCCGATGGCTTCTAACATCAGTATTGTCTGTACTGAGTAAGTCATGACTATGACACCTCCTTCTTGGCGAATTTTCACTGGCATATGCTCTATTGGGCTTCTTATCATCATGCTGCTGGTGTCTACCTGTTTTTGGTGGTGGAGGCCTTTCAGGTTTATCTTTTTTGGCAGATGTCCTAATGAGGTTGTCTTCAAATCTATGAAGATCAGGGTTGTTTTCTTCCTGAACAGTCCGAGGCTCTGCTGATCTTCCCCGTTTACGTTGATCATCATAGTGGAGAGGCTGCTTAGATTTTGGGTGACCTCCCTCCTTTCTGGTTCGTTCAAGTCTTTCATTTCTATGGCGTCTGTCATATTCAGATACGTGCTCCTTATGTCTACCCCTATGATGTCCTAAGCAATGGAGTAGCATCATAAAAAAAGAATAGGAAAGGAGTTTAAAATATTTGTCTTAACATACTCCTCCTCTCTTCCCCTATTTCCTTTTAATGCTTTTCTGTAAAGGATAGGGCAAGTTACAAAATAACATTTTTGCGCTAGTTCCTAACTAGCTTGTTCCTAACTAGCTTGTTCCTCTTGGAAAATGAAAACATGGAATATTTTTAAATCAAACCTTTTTAAAATTATTTTTTATTTTACTTTACGGTTAGGGACTTTGGGGGTCTAAACAGTCCCCTGATATTTACCTTGTAAAATAGAAAAAGAGATTGAGGACACAGAGTCCTCAATCTCTTTTTCTGCAGCCCATGTTATGAATGAACAGGAACCCTCTATACTGAGTGCTCCTGTGGATTCATAAACTGTGGAAATAGTATTAAAGTTATTATGTCCACAATCATGAATGAACAGGAAGTGATGTATAGTACTTCCTGTTCACTCATAACTGGGGACACAGTAAGCATACTATGTCCTCAGTTATTTACAAACACTCAGCGATCAGTCCTGATCTTTGAGTGCTTGTAACCCTCTCTCCATCCTGGCTCACCTGTCACAGAATGCCGAGCAGGGCTGTGCAGGAGGAGAACTCAGTCTCCTGTGGCAGCCGATTCCTTCCTGCACCACCCCACTTGGCCTTCTGAAAACTTCACACTGGGCGCCGTCAGCTGGATCCTCTGTGTCCCCTTGGACACCCGCTGCCTCTGCCGACACAGGCGGGGGAGAGCAGTCAGCATCAGAGGGGAAAAAGGCCGGCGTCCAGCTGGGAAGAGAGAAGCTAGGGCTTTTCCCTCCATATGTTTGGCCGTTATGGTACTGTCATCATTTTGCCCATAGTGCCATTTTCGTCTGAAATTTTGGTGCATCCTTAGTTAGGACATACAGAATTTACATTTTACATTACCTAAAGAAATAAAGGCATATCTATCTAGACACTTCAGTATTTGTACACCAATATGCAGTGTGTGAACTATCAACATTTTACAGTTCAGTATCTGTTTGCAGCGTGGTTACGGGTGCAGCCGTCAGTGTGGACACAACCCTGGAATAATTAACATGACTTTCAAATGCAATACAACATATTTAGCAGGCAACTACAGCTACTCGGCAGCAAATAAATGTAAAATAAAAACAGCAATAAAAATCAGTGGGGTCCGTTGCAGAAATCTTCAAAACACGCTAAACATTTTTGACCTACTAAAAAGTACTATAGGAAATCACTTTTGAAAGGAGAAAAGAAAATGGTAAACCAGAAGTAGAACTCAGGGGCATTACTGGTACTCAAGAGAATATTCTGAGAAGGGAAATTATTGCTTTTATTTTTGGCCATAAGTGATAAAAGATCTGCAAAAGTGGTGTTGTAATAGAATTAGGTCATCAAGTTTAAATTCATGAGTAAACAGCATAGGCAGGTCAAGTAACTGACACACAAAACAGCTGTTAAAACTGTTAATAAATATTAGAGCTAAATTTATAAAAACCCTAACCTTTCCCAATACAAAATGCAAGAAAATGGAATGACCTTATGTGGTAAATGAGGTAAAACAATATTCCATTTGAATTGCTTTAAGATCCAAATGGATTGGTTGGATTGGATTGCTGTTTGCCATAGAAAACAATATTATTATGAACCTGTTTTCTTTCATTTCCTGAAGCCCAGCATATTCTTCATTGTACTTCAAGGTCAAAAAGAATAATAAAATCTCTAATGAAACTTTCTTGAGAAGCTGGAAGTCCTCTACGCACATGAGTGGTTGCGTCATCAAATTCCAAGCACCACATGATTTCCCCTTACTGAGAATCGGCAAAAGAGCTGGCAAAGCAAGTATAACTTGGTCAGGGAGTATTGGGGGGAGGGGGACATTTTCATAAAGACACTGTCACTTTGTCCTGAATGGGCAAAGAAAGTGTCTCTTCAAAAAGGACTACATTGTGTACGGTGTTAGTTTACTGCTGACTCCTATTAAGCCCAGTGGAGTATTTTGGTTTTGGGCTGCCCTAGGCAAGACAAAAAACTCGGGCACCCCCCTTAATCTACATTTGCCCCATCCATGCCTTTTAAGACACACCCCTTCATCTGTAAACACCACCCCTGCTTTATGCTCTACCTTTTCCCCTTATTGCTCCACCTCTTCTTTTCTGTACATTAAAAGTGGGTAACTAGTGCCTATACCTTTGTTGGAAGCATTTTGTGTAACCTGTCAGAAGCTGGATACAGCGCGCACGCTGTATCCAGCTTCTGACAGTTAGCGCTATTACTGTAGCAGGGAAGCCACTGCGCATTTTGTTTATCCTGTCAGAAGCTGAATACAGCGAGCACCTGTTTAAAATATTAATAGCGCGCGCGCGCTGTATCACTTCTGCCAGCGTCGGAGAGAGGAGGCTGATCGCTGGTGGATTCGCGCAAGGATAACTTTTTCTCCCTTAATGGCATGAGAGTTTCTGCCTCACTGGTTTGGGGGCAGAGTTTCTTTTAGGGCCTGTTCACATGAGATCAGGTCCTGATCAGGTGCTGATCAGCAGACGTGGAGCTGCTGATGCAGTGCGTTTTCGGTCCGGATGCTAACAGTTAATTTTTTGTCAACGTTGATGACATAATAAGTGGAGCAAGAATACACTTTTTTCTTTTTTTTTCCCCCTTAGCTGCATTGCGTTGCGTTTCCGTTCTCGTTGCGTTTCGTGCGCGTTTCCGGACCGGACAAAATGTGACATGCAGTATTTTTTCTGTCGTAAGCTGAACGGACTGCGCACGTGAGAACTGGAGCCCATAAAACACATAGGGATACATTGGGATGCATTTTGAGTGCAGCAGTGTACGGAGCCGGTCAGCACACAAAACGGACGTCGTGTGAACAGGCCCTTAGAGATGCACGGATACCATTTTTTCAAGACCGAGTACTGATACTTTTCCTCAAGTACTTGCCGATACCAAATGACCGATAGCTTTTTTTTTTTTTAGTGTCATGTAACAGTTTTTCTAAAGCAATACAGACTAATGATTGTATGACAGTGGTCGAGCCCCAAGGCCCAGTCGCAGCTGCAACCCTGGTAGTTCTGCCACTGACTACAAATCCCAGCAATATATTATACAGCAATGCAGAATTCCATCAGCTATAGAGCACTACAAACCCCAGCACTACATTATGCAGCGGCTGTGTGGGGTCTGATCAGGGCTGTGCGGGGTCTCAACGGGGCTGTGCAGACGGTGGGGTTCCCCAGGAAGGAGGAGGAGAGAAGTATTACAGTCACCGTAAACAGGGGCAAGCATGGGTCCTTACAGCAGCCGAATATATTAAAAAATGTAAAGGCCGGTATGTTTTTAGTTTCAGCGCATTTTCACGAGTAATTGTACTCATGGAAATGCCCAGTATCTGTGCATCCCTAGTGGCTTTTGCCTCCCCTGGAAAGTGCAGCCAATGGCAAATGCCTTTCGGTAGATACACCTCTGATTAAGCACATCTACAAATCATGTGCTGTGTAATCCTGTATGTTACATTGATCTCAATATAGGTAATTCCTAGCCTTTGGAACTCACATTAGTCCACACCCACCACTTTGAGTAAAATCAACATGCTTACTGGTCCTAGCAGGTCCATCTTTAATAGAGTTAAAATCCAACTGAACCCTCAGTGCAAGTCAGCTAAATACATTTTTGCTGCAAGAAGAAAAAAGAAGAAGAAGAAAAAAAAAAAAAAAGAAAAGAAAAAAAGAAGAAGAAGAAAAAGAAGAAGAAGAAGAAGAAGAAGTGTTCAATAGCTTAACGGTCGTTTTCTTTCTAAAATCAGCCACAGTCTGAGTGGGAAGCCTGTCCTCCGCCATCATTCTACAGAGTGCAACCCCTGCTTTTTATGTGAAAGCTGTGGTCTCTACACGCAACCCTACTTAGTCAGACCTATAACTCAGTCCTAGAGCTCTAGTTCAGACCTCTTCAAAAGAGACCACTTCTTCACCATACAGAGCAAGGGTCCCACAAAAAAGCATGATGTGAAAGGAGGACAGGTTGTGGCTCATTTTTAAAGAAAAATAAATGGAAGACTGAAGTGCATTTATTCAATTTAAACTGAAAGCTCAGTTAGGCTTTAACTGTTTAACTAATCCACTCCACTCTGTCAACTATTAAGACAGGCAAGGTGATGCTATGATGCAACAATTTTAGCCATTACGGACAATGTCAAACAAACCCAAAAGTGACCATCCTCATCAATTGGAGTCAAATACTGGGACTGCACAACATTTACAACCAGAAGCACAATGTAAATTTAACTGCTCAATGTTCTCCAATGAACATAAAACATCCTTATGAGATACAAGGATGCAGTTTGCCAGTCAGAAAATTATACCTCTCTTTTCTTTCTCCAAATGAATTGAACGTAAGAAAGTTAGATGCAAGGCAAGCCTAATGAATATTTCAGATAAGGCACTCCAAAACTATTTTTCCAATTTTTGAAGGCGCATATATAACGGGTCTGTCATTCTTGTTCTTGCTGCACTATTTATTGAGCTAATGAACTGGAACAAACATTGGGTGACGACACTTGGTATGCACATGCTTGGTCAAGGTAAGTGACTGACCAGCCAGTAAACAAAGGATAAGTGTAACAGCCATAGAGCTTGAATTATGAGTAATGGAAGCTCCAATATTTCAATCCTATTCCTTTAAAGTTCAAAGGGAGTAGATTAGGTTTAGGTAACGCCAAGAGATAGCTCTAAGTTTAACCCCTTCGTGACTGACGACGTACAGTGTACGTCGCCAGCATCAGGGCTGTTTAAACAGACTCCCGGCGACTTTTGCCGCCGGGACTCTGTTTAAACTTGTAGAGCCGACTGTCGGCTTTACAGATGTGGAGGGACAGGTTACATAACAGGGGGGACATATTTGCACATTTGTTTTTGGCACTGAAAACTACATGCCAAAAACCTATTGCATCAGGATTCCAGCACTGAAATCTCACCCAAAAACAAGTCTACCAATCTCGCTTGTGCCATCTGCTTGAATGCACTTGCTAAAAAGGGAAAGATCATCTTGTTGCAAAGATCCACAAAAGAATACAAATGTAATGTTTTCTATCTCAGATGATTAAAAGGACAGTCTATTGCGTCTATAACTTTTCGAAATAAACCAAGATTTTGCACACAACACTATATACCTCCATGGTCAGGATAATACGGCTCTTCAGCGGCATGTGGAGGGTAATGCTTCTTTTTCCTTTTTTCTTCTCTCTCCTGCAATAATCGTGCAATGTCCTATTAATGTAAAAATAAAGAAACATAAAAGGTTTACCAAACATAACACACATCATAGCAAGATTCAAATAATTTAAAAAAAGAAACTTCACCCAACTGGGTGCTACAAACTTGTTTTTAAATAAAGCAAAACAGTGTAAATATTTAACACCACAATGGCTGCTATGAACTACTAAAAATTATATGGCATATTACAATATCAAACATTTTAGTTGTCTGTCTACTGGATTTATACTCTGTAGTGTGGAAGAACTGAAGTGACCGCCGTGTACACACAGTTCCTGAATGAAAGCGAGCCCTCCTTTATAGTTCAGTAATCACATTAGCGTTCTTGCTGATGCCAGCTGAACGCGAGCTGACAAGCCAATCTGTTCCTGCACTCAGAGAACACTGTATGTAGAAGACATGGTTAGAAGGGAATAAAGGATGAATAAAACCTAATGGTCTGACTCCAAGGGAAATAGCAGGTGCGGTTTGAATAGGTTATGAAGTCATTTCCTAATGGCAAGACAGTAATCTAATGAAATTATAGGCATATGGCACACCGCCCAGACTCCCATACGATAGGAGATGCCAGAGAGTGTGCAAGACCTAACAAACAGAAAAAGTTACAGTAAGGAAACAATAGATTAAAACATCTTACTGCTCTTTAAGATGCAAATCACATCTACACTCACATTTTACAGACACACTGTAAAACAACCCAATATGTCAAAAAGTAAAGAACACCTTTATAGCTTTGTTTAGCTCCTTTAACCCCCCCCCCCACCCCCCGTGGTAATGAAGACGTTCATGACCAGATAAAATTTTGACGTTTTGGTATGCAGTGGTTTACTAAACCATAACTTAGTAAATGCTTTGCAAATCATTTGCACATATGGGGCCCTTATCAGGCAATTTTTTTTTAAAAATATCCTGAATATATATTTTTTTATAGTAAGCATAATAATTTACAAAAATGTGAATAAGCACAGTTTTAGTTTGTTTTGATGTGTAACATAATTTGTATAATGAACACTTTCACTGCTGACGGCTATTAGCGCCATCATTGAGGAGTTTGTTTACATTTTTCCTCCCGACTTTCTTGTAGAAGTGATTCAGATGGGTGTAAAGACGCTCGATCACTTTTACATGATGAGGAAAGTATAGCCCACACCTCCACCCGTCCCCATGTGTCCTGGGTTCACCTGCCCCTTCTGAATGCCTTGGACCTCCACGGTGGGTGAGGATGGAGAGAGGCGAAAGATCAGGTGAACATCCTATGCTGATCTCTCCTGTGAAGAACTCAACAATAAATACTTGGCTCTGAGCAATTCTGGCATCAAAGCTGTCAAACCCCACTCACTTCGGTCTGTGCTCGATCAACTTCAACAGAGTGCAGAGGTGACAGAGGTTTAATGGACCCTTGATGTTTCCTTAAAGAAAACCTGTCACCTGCAATATGTTATCACACAGGGGGATCACCATCCCCTTGTGATAGCTATAAAAAAAACTGTATTAAATTTTTTTTTTTTTAAATGTTTAGTTAACCAGTTGACATCCGCGGTGTTAAACCCCCTTCCCATCCAGGCCATTTTTCAGTATTCAGCAACTCCACGCTCCGATCCGCCAGCTCTGACTGGCGGAACGGACGTGGGAGGGTACAGCTGGCTCTGCCTCTAGATAGGCAGAGCCAGCTGTCACTCACGCAGCTGGGCGGATCTCGACATCGATGTCGGGATCCGCTCCGGCGTCTCAGTATACCGCGAGCTGTAGCTTGCAGTATACTGAGCTTAGGGTAACGGGAGGACGCTAGTTTGTGTCCTCCCGTTACCCTAAGGAGAACTATGGGGAAAAACACTGACCCCATAGTTCTCCTTTAAAGCTAGTAGGTATCGCCGTGTACTCCAGGGTTACAGCAATAGTTCTAGGGCTGTCATTCACTGTTAAATCTAAATTAATGACCTGCGAAGGCTTTTAAAGCATTACCTATGAAACATTTTGAGTAATGTTGTTTTTCACCATTTCACAGGCAGGTACAGTTTTGGTATCTGTTTACTCAATGCAACCTCACCTTTTAAAATTTACCAAAACGTTGGGTATTATGTTGTGTTTGTGTGCACTACAAATTATTTTGAGCTTATTTTTTTCTGAAAACACAGATAGACAAATTTGACCATAAAATGATTTTTCTACCTCTGAAAGTTGCTTGAATGTTTGATAGGTGATTATGTACACACATTTCAGCACTTTGGGGCCAGATACATAAAAAATGAAAATCAAATGCTTGCTATGGATTTTTACCACATTGCTCTAAATCATACTTAAAGCAGTACTTTTACCAGTTAACAGAACAGTCTACTTCCTGATATTGTAGAATTGCATCCCCACCCTGTGCCTGTGAGAAATCCTGCGAATCTGTACTGGCCTAAAGACCGCAATTGTAGCTTTGCTCTCTGCTAATTGGAGAGCTCTAGCTCGGACTCAACTGGGGGTATGTTGGACCTCTGCAGTGAGATTACCACTTTTGAACACAGAGCAGGGAGATTTCTCTCCAGCATACTAGAAGGGGGCAGGCTTTTACTCATACTGTGGTTGCTTTATGAAGAAAATGAATTGTAAGACTTTGTACTCTTTTTATTTTGAGCCACCTAGAGTTTATTTAGCTGATAAAAACTGAAAAAGTTTAATTGGGCTTTATTGCAGCATGTTAAAAATATGCGTTGCAGAAAAACTCCAACACAATACAAATGTCAAAGAAAGGATACATGCATTTTTTTTTTTAACATTGATCCTTTCCACCTAAGCACACTAAATATTACTTATACTTCTCTACAACAACGTTGTCTGGAGATCTTCACTGTTTAGTTGTCCCAGTGCCACAGAGACCCAGGCTGAAAATGTGCTGCAGTCTGACTGGAAGAGGAACAGGCTTCTGACTGAAATAAATGGAGAGTGTGGTGTGCACACACCGGTACAGCACATAGGAATTCAGAAGATTTGCACAGCACCAGGCAGAGTGCACAGTAAGCATTTCCCAATAATACATACACACACACTGGTTCCTGTGTGTATGTACTGTATGTATGCATGCATGCATGCATGCATGTGGAATGTTTGTTCGAACTGGGCCAGTTGTATTTCCGAAAGGAGGAAGGGCATATGCTGGGCTGAAACTGTTGCAACATTTTGAGGTGTATTTTGAGTGCTGCACCCCATTGGACTTTTATATAATACATATATGGATAAATGCACACGTCAGTTTTACATTCCCTTAAACTTTTATGGGAATGCTAAACCCATCAATATAGTGTACACACACACACACACACACACACACACACACACACACACACGGTGCAGAAGGTAGTAGACCAGCTTGCCCCTGGTTTCACATATATGCGGCCACTTTTTTGGGCAAACCCACAGGCAGACATATGCGTGTAACTATACTGAATGTTTAAATCACAAATGATGTGCATACATATAATATCAGCAGGGTGTTTGCCAACAAACAGTTCCTTTACATTATCTATTTAAAGCAAATGCTAGAGCCAGCGTTTATTGGAAGTGGAGAAACCTTATTACTACTTCTCGCTGAGCGTGTACTTTAAGTTCAGACCAGATCTGAAAATTTTCTGCTCCTGGCAACAATCCTGGAAAGAATAATGCCTTAGGGCACATAACGTCAATGATGTATTACAGCGAGATGGCCATGAGGATGCCAAAAACCTGCTGTAATATAGAAGGATTGCGGGATACCAGATAGGGCAATGCTTCAATTTAATGGTTGCCAGTTATAAAAAAAAAAAATCGAACTGGGGATTGTCTTCAAAGTCTCAATGTGGCAGCAAGTTTCTACTGTCTGGGCAGATTTATGTCATCAGGCATCGGTTGGCAGCCATCTCCGCAATCGCACATTTTCCTTTTTTCCACTGAAAATGTTAAATGCTGTATGTATGCATGCAGCATGACACTCAATGGGAAATTTTGTAGGAGAAACACATACGAGCAAAAAATGAAGCATGCAATTTATAAGTTTGCATAGGTTCAGCTGAAAAAAAAATGTATATACAATTTATTACATGAAGAGCCACAGTCCTTATGATACTGTCTTTCTGACGAAACAGCTGCTACCCCCAAGCCTCAGTTTTGCAAGCAACAAATAGTAGAAGTGGAGCATGAGAAACAGAGGGACGGCACCTATGTCTTGTAATGTACTTATTTTTTAACTTGTTTATCCTACATTGCAAGACAAAGGATGGTATTCAGGAATGTAGGGACATCCCCAAGTAATACAATTACTTGGGGATACAAGAGCAACACAGTAAACCGGCGATACTGGAAAGCTCATGCAGCACTAGCTTATCTAGTGGAGTGTGCTAGGATATGGAAAAGTGGAAACTTACCTTTAAGGCTGGGTTCACACCTAGGCGTATCGAATATGCGCGTTTGTCGCGCGTTCCTTGCGTTTTTACCGCGATTTGCGTGAGGGCTACCTGGCTGCATCCCAATGGAAACGCGCGGCATATACGCCCCAAAGAAGCTCCTGTACTTCTTTGGGCGTAGGGCGTTTTGCAGCGCGTTCCTACGCGCTGTATAACGCCCAGGTAGGAACCATGACCATAGGCAATCATTGGTTTTCACATGTTGAGCGTTTTGCAGAGCGTAGGAACACGCTGTAAAACGCCCAGGTGTGAACCAGGCCCAAGTCCTCAGGCTTAAATGAGGATTTTTCAAATCCACAGGGAATGGTACAGCCAAATGCCGGTTGAGGTCCCCTGTCGAGATGCTTAGAAAAACAGAGAAAAGAGTTAATGTCAATATGAAGCTGTAGCTGAGAGGCTCACACAGCACATACCACATCTAGACAGTGGAGGTAGACCTCCTTGGGTTGGTTAAGAGAAGGGCATAGAGAAGACAGGACAATGTCCTGGTTGAAGTGGGAGAAACCACTTTGGGAAGAAAGGAGGTCTATCTCATATCTATGCAGTACAAGGAAGGGTTCCTTACAGGTTAAGACCGCCAATTCAGACACATTGTGCCGAGGTGTTGGCAACAAGAAAGGCAACCTTGTAAGCAAGAGTAGACAGGGGAATATCCCTGATAGGCTCAAAAGCCGGTTTCTGGAGAGTCAACAGAATCAACTTAAGATCCCATGGGGTCACCGGGGAAAAAACAGGGAAAACAAAAGTTGCCAAAGCCGAAATCTACCAGTAATGGTACACAAGGATAAAAGTTTATCCAGACCCGACTGGAAAAAAAGACAGGATTATTTCCACTACTTTCTGCAGGGAAATTACTTACCTTACACCACACAAAATATGTCCTCCATATGTCTATTAGGAGAAAGGTTGCACAGCGCAGCAGACAGTAACTAGGCCCAAAGAGAAGCAAGGCCTTGGTTACCCACAAATCCATGCAGCTGATGCTGAGGAGGTTTATAGATGGCCGGAGGTGACCATGGCATGGAAAACGGGCAGTGACGTGAGAACAGAGAACGATAGATCAACAAATCGCTGTGAGGGCAGGAGCAGGAAGTGTATACTAGTTGTGTACAAATTTTCTTTATTATGATCAGGATAAAGATTAGAACAGTTAAAGATGGCATTTTATATATACATTTTGGGGATTTTTTTTAAGCCAGCATGTGGAGCTCTAATTAGAGTCAGGTGAAAAAAGCCTGTTTACAGGCTTAATGCATTCAGTTTCAATACAGAGTAGAAGTAGAAGAGACGTCATGATAGTGACTGATATCACTCACTTTGCTCCTATCAGATGGCTCAGCCCAAGGTTTTTATTCAGAATGATGGTGCTGTAAAGAAAACATCTAAGCTGCCTCTTTAACTAGCTCTTGGAATTCTTTGCCATGAATTAAATGTTTATTTATAAAAGAAATATTGTATATACACATTAGGGATGCACCGATACCACTTTTTTAAGACCGAGTATGAGTACCGATACTTTTAATCAAGTTCTCGCCGATACCTATTACAAATACAACCGGTGCCTAACACAAACTTCCGGTATCAGGAAGCTGGGCGGCGCGTCATTACACGCTGCCCGGCTTCCTGATTGGCCAGGAAGCCGACTCTGTGCTCCCTCATCATCAGGGAGCATGGAGCTGGCTTCCTGGCCAATCATAAAGCCGGACGGCGTGGAATGACTCGCCCTCCGCTTTCTGAACCGTCGGGGTGCTGGCCAAGCAAGAAGCCGGGCGACGAGTCGTTACCCGCTCCCCGACTTACTGATTGGCCAGAAACTCGCCTGGTGACAAGGGAGCATGGAGCTGGCTTCCCGGTGAGACAGGAAACCGTGCGTAATGACTCATTGCCTGGCTTCCTTATTGGCTAATTGGGAAGCCGAGTGGCGAGTCATCCTACCGGCTTCCTTAATAGGATTTCCGGTATTGGTATCGGTGAGTGCAGAAAAAATTGCAGTACTCTTACTCGATACCAAAAAACTGGTATCGGTGCATCCCTAATATACATACTAACAAACAGATCAAAAATATATAAAAACGGACAAAAAAAAAAAAAAACTGACCAAAAACCAGCAGGATTTCATTTTAATATCTGCCATGTTATCATGAAAACACAAGCACCTTCTAAAATGAGGAATACTGTGCATGGCTTGATTGTAAATATAGAGCACTATGATAAACAGACCCTTCCAGTCACCATTTTAAGTAAAAAAGCCTCAAGGTGCCCACAGACATTAGGAGTAGTGTCTCCCAAATCAGCTGATGTACCCCACCCCTTTTTTTCTAAGAATGAAGGTTTGTGCCATAGCAGCATTTCTGTTAGGGCAGAGGCTTGCCCAAAATACCTAACCCAATGTCCAGATGTCATTAAAACTTAGATGTCAAGACCAAAAATTTAGCAATGCAAGTATATCTGTCAACTTGAAAATAACTCAATGCCCAATTTACCTAAATTTGCCACAAAAAAATAGTTTACATAAATGTTAGGTGATAAAGGGTTTTATGTGGTACACTTTTTTAAATAAATACCCTACTCATCTGATACATAAAAATAACTAAACTTTTCCTTGTTGAACTAAAAGGATATTTTTTTCCAACATATTGTATTGCACTTTTTTCCCCACTCATTGTATTACACTGACAGCTACAGTCTGCCAGCTTCAGCAGACATGGTGTCTCCCACTGTCTGAGGTGCAATGACAGCTAAAGCCCCCAAGTTTGTGTGTAAAGAAATGCACTTACCTCATCTTTCTCCTCTTGTCTGCGTCGGCTTTCTGCTTCAATCACCAGCTTTTCTTGAATTTCCTGAGCTATTTCACTATCTAAATCTTCACTAGAGAGAAAAAGAAAAAAAAAAAAGCAAAAGCTTTAGTGCCAAGGTAAAACACTCTTCTGTGACTCCATACTGTACACAATTCAACACACTCCCAAGTTCAGACAAGGCATTCATGTTCTTTACCTTGAAGCTCTGTGAGGTAAATCCCTAAAAACATCACTTCTTATCTTCTGAATGAGAAGTTGTTTAACTTGCAGAAATGCAGGCTAGTGTGTTCACTGATATAAGCACCACCCTCCAAGCCCAATGTAACCCTCCTACATAGCCAATGGAGAACAAGATGAAGAACAAGATGGAAGTTCCAACACACAGAGTTTGCTATTGGCTTGTGTTGACATCAGTTTGAGCTGCTCATGGAATCATTAAGGATTCATAGATGGCTGCATTTAACCTCCTTCTGACTTGCCTTTGACATGTGACCAGCAGGTTTTGTGTTATCACATGACTTGTACAGGAATGTAAATCCATTTGGAACAAAAGTCCAACAACACAGGCCCGTAATCTGGTTGTACCAGGTTTATTTTTAAAGCTAAACTACAGCCAGGAGGTTTTCAAAACACAAATTATCAGGGTACTTGCATTCGATTTCTTTTTACAGTCCGTTTTTAAAGTATTTTTCATGCTCCAAAAAGGACCCCTGTTCCTCCTCTTTATGCTGTCTTCCTGTTTCTGTGACTGTAAGATCCCGAATGTAAAGCTTTTGCAATCGGGAGCGTACTCTCATACGCATGCATGTGTAAAAGCAAGTAAAGAAGATAGTTTTAACAAACATTATATTGTAAAGCGCTGCGCAAACCGTTGGCGCGATATAAATCCTGTATGATGATGATAAATAAACATTTTTAACAAATGTTAACACCTGCACTCCAAGCACACTAAAGCAAAACCACAAAAAAAAAAAACTTAAAATTTTGTAAATTTTTGTCCAATAGTATTAAAAGGAAATCTAGCTTCTGGGCTTCAAAGAGCTGAGGAAGGCCGCAGCTGATGAACTGGTACAGGACAAAGGAAGTCGGAGGCTGATGGACTGCGACAGAGCAGAGGGAGTTGGCGGTTGATGGACTGGAACAAGGCAGAGGCAGTCGGCGGCTGATGGACTGGGATAGGGCAGAGGCAGCGAGCAGCTGAAGGCCTGTAGTGTGTCTGTATCCACAGTAAGATTTTTCAACAGCAGCTGATGCTGAAAATCTTTAAAACTAAGAGATGTCACTACACAGAGCCATGAAATCGGGCCCACTGGAAGCTTTTCTCTTCATTGCTAGGAGGACAGCACATCTGGTGCAGCATAAGTGGAACCTCTGGGGCCTGACACCTTTCTGACCATGTCTTCCTACGCTAAATGTTTCACATCAGTACCCTACTTCTGACACAGCTGTGCCAGGTATCTCCTCTTATAACATACAACAGGAACTGCACAATATTGACTGTCACCATGTTGCTTAATTATATAATAGGAGTTATCTACATATATAGCCGTCCTGGAATGGGCAACCTTTTGCTGGTACTTATCAAAAATAGTCTTTAAAAGTTCATATACTTTGGGATTATTTTATTTATTTCTAAGATTAACTAAACAATCTGAATTTTACAAACAGGACTTTTGCCCTGCCCCACTGGGCTAACAGGTCCAATGGAAACAACAACAACCCCAACAGGGAACAAAAATAGAACAGAGGCATTTTCAACAATTACAGGCCCATCTGAAGGACATTGTGCTCAAAGCCAACATATGCATAGGCCTGAACATCCACCTAGTAGAACCTGACAAAGGTGTGCACAGGAGAATAGGTGGTAGCTATACATATTTGGGAAATTGAAGCCTCATGCTGAAAAGCCTAAAAAGCACCAACACTTCTAGTGGAGTGAAAAGGAGGAACTTTGCCCTTTAGTTCATAGCCTGCGAGATGGCCTGATAAATAGCAATGGTGAAGGAGGAAGCCAGACACACATACACACAAAAATTATGTGAAAATTATTAGCAAAATATTAACATACAATTACGTTTTATCAGACAAAATAAGAAACAAAATTGAAGATTGTCTTTATATTATTTACTGCTAACATGTCAACAGAAGCCGCATGGAAGTACTCACAGTTCATTGTGACGGTGCTTATCCTTGGCTTGTGCTTTGAGTTCCTCCTCTTCTTGAAGCTGTTTGGCCACCTGTAGGTCATGTTTGACCAGACGGTTCCTCTGGATATTTGTGGCTAGATGATGTTCAACTACAAAAAAAAGTAACATAAAATTGTAAAACATGGGTCTATTGTAATACATCAAATGTCAGACCAACAACTGTTCCAGCTACTCCTAATTTGTCAATGTATTACTTACTTTCTTGTTCCTGCAAGGTATGTGCAAGACTGTGATCTTCCAGCACTGCAAAATCACGGCAAACTGTAAGGAGAAAAAAAAAAAAAAAGAAAAGGCTTACTTTTATACACTACAAGACATAAGCTAATATAGCAGGCAACGATCAAAATCACACACATAATAGGCAATAACAGCCAAATATAAAAAATAACACCGACAAATTAAAATGTTTGTGTTAATAACTTTGTAAAGTTATTTGCTGTTAAAGGGCTATTTTCATACCTGCATATTTTGCTTATGGTGACACTAAACTCAGGAGTTAAATTTTAAGAATGCATTCAAGTACCTTAACTATTAACAAAAATGTATCTTATTGTGCATGATTCAGAGGTAGATCCTCAAATCATCTCTGAATTTGTGCCGACACCGTCCTTCCTTCTGGAGGGTGGCTACTTTTGTTCCTCATGTGTGTTATAAAGTAGCCACCGCTCCAAGTTTGCTCCTATGGTGGACTGCAATCTCACATTTAGTTTACTAATTTGCATTAAGATTATAATCCATCATGGGAGTGAGACCATGGGGAACAAAAGTAGCCACCCTGCAGAAGGAAGGACAGTGTCAGCATGAATTGAGAGATGATTTGAGGTTTTACAGCCACGTGATACACAAATAAGATACATTTTTGTTAATAGTTCAGGTACTTGAATACATTTAAGTTTTAGCTCCTGAGTTTAGTGTCCCTTTAAAAAAGGAAGGCGCAGTGTGTCATTTAATTGAGGGCTTATTTTTATTATTACATTTACTTTTATTTTTTGTACTGTGTAGCGCAAATATCAGCGATTTTCACATCCTGATCTGCAGCACTGCGAGCAGTCATATTTTTTTGTTTCAGAACAAAGCTTTGCAGTACCACACACTGTTCATGCTTCTCACAATGCAAGTCTATGAACCGGCTCACTGGAAAAAAAAAATGTAGTCCTAATCTGGTAATGATTGAAATCTAGTGATTTCTACATTTATAGCTGAACTCCAGGCAAGCATCTAAAAACACAGGTGAGATACATATAATGGGAGCTGCTCTACCTGACAAAGTATTTCTGCCTATTCAGTCCTTAAGTGTAAACACAGCACGGCCAGAGAAATAACTCAACTTTTTCTGTGGTCAATTATTATACATGGCCGACATTATCATGTGCCCTGTCTGTTGATTAAATCATGAAGGAGGTGCGACAGAGCAGCAATAGGTTAAAAGTGTCATCCTTGTGCTCACTCTGCCCTCCTCCCGTCAGCTTTTCAGCATATGTGCACCCTCCTTCCCACACAGATTTATACTTATTGAGGAACGGCGCTCTTGGCCTCTGGGAATTACACAGAATTTGAAAAGTAAAACAGGGTATTTAAAAATGAAGAAACAGATTTTTTTAATGAGTCTAATGTATTTACAGTTTACTAATGGTTATGGGAATGTTTTTTTTACAAATTCAATACTGCAGTGTAAAGGTTAAAGTGATATTAAAAAGGCAAAAATGTGTTTCCCTCCCCCCCATGTAAATGTTAGCACTTAACTTAAATTATGTCTCTATTTCCGATCTTCCTCTTCTTTCCCCATGTTTTCATGTGTTCCTCCACCGTTGTGAGGTCACTCCGATCCAGCGCTGACTGCTCTCTCTCTTCGATCCAGCGGTGTCTGCAGGCGGGTGCACGCGTCCATAGACTTACCTTGCGTCTCTGCTCGTCTCCCGGCTGAGAATCAGAACTGCGCATGCGCCCGCCCCAAGATCCTTTGCGGCCGTACGAGCAGTTCCTGATTCTCGGCGCAGGAGCGAGCAGCGATAACAAGGTAAGTTTAAAATGATTTTAAGCGGTTGTTTTTTTTTACACTTCTTGCCTATATCTACTGTATGCTAGCAGTAGATATAAGCAAAAAAAACTGGAGGGTTTAGAACCCCTTTAATTCAATGTAATGAGGGCTTATCTCAACAGAGAAATGCAATGGAGCTGCATTAAGCTACTGCTTCTCCCTCTAGTAGGTAATCTACAAAACATTTAAAAAAATCTTGCATGAACAAGCTTTTAAAAATGTGATAGTCTTAACCCCTTCATGACTGAGCTTGTTTTTAGTTTCTGTTCGTAAATGACTGACACACTTTTGAAATGTTTGCTGTTTGATCCTTCCAAGTCAGTAATATACTTTCTTACAAAGTGCACCCACACATATTGTATATTGTTTTTTAGAGGACAGATAGACACACATATGTGATATAAATATGTAGCCCTAACGCCTCACTTTTTCAATATTTTAAAAAGGCAAAAAAACACCTTTTTTCCCAGTTTTGATTTGTAGTACAAAACCAGCACAGCTAAAAAAAAAAAATGCAATAAATACATATTTATTTGTCCTTTATTTTTTTACACTTTTTTTCTCCTTACACTTTTCACTATTTTTAAAAAAACTTTATTTTATTTACCTATATCAAGCAGTCATTGTGAATTAATCTCACTATTACTGCTTGATAAATACATTTTTGGTTATTATTAGGCTGCTTCAAACTTCAGAACAGCCAATAAGTTAGTGACACTGATCCTGCAGCAGTTCAGGATTCAGCTGTCACTAAAGGTTTTCTGATCGTTCCAACAACGATCAGAAAACTGAATTTGGTCCCTTTGTGGCGGGACGTACAGTGTACGTCTCCCGTCACGAAGTGGTTAAAGTGACATTAAAGTCAAAGATTTTTTTCCCCTCCCCCCAATGTTAATTAAAAGCACTTAACCTTGTCCTTTTCAGCCTTTTCAGCCTTCTCTCCAGCGCTGATGCTGGTCTCCGATCCAGCGCCGACTCCTCTGATCTTGCTGGCACTTTCTGTCCCACGCGTCCATATACTTACCTTGTGTCTCTCCTCGTCTCCCGGCCGAAAATGTAAACTGCGCATGTGCCCGCCCCAAGATGCTTTGTGGGCGCCCGGGAATTTTCAAATTTTCGGACAGGAGTGCGCGGGGAAGACACAGGCAAGTTTAAACCGCTTTAAAAGCAGGTTGTTTTTTTTAAACACTTTTTGCATATATCTACTGCTCGCTAGCAGTAGATATATGCAAAAACACCGGAAATTTAATAACCCTTTAAAGCTGGCAAAATACCAGCAGAATATAGTTAGAAAAAAATAGTTTGCGCATTCGTTCAATTTTTTTAATAGTGGCGTCAAATTGGATATAGTTTTTGACTATAGTGATGACAAACACAAGGAGTAGGATGGAAATTTTTCTTAAACAAATGAAATTCTAACAATCAAATATGGTTTCGTTTTGGGAAACTCCATTCGTTCCAAAGCAAAATGTTAAAATAAAACAAATGTTTCCAAAGCCATTTCTCAAGTATCTGATGGCAATATTGAACGTTCTGATGAGTTTTTTTTGTATGAACATACTTTCTAAAATCCACCAGTGTATGGCCAGCATTACAAAACTACATTTGGTGCATTTATGTTTTATTAACAAAAAAAAGCAACCTTGACATGGGATTTGTTCAGCCTCTGTACTCTTTATACGTACATACCCACTGTAGGTCAAATAAATGACTACGGAATCTATTTATGGATGCTATCTAAACATTCTGTTGGTGATATTAGGTGGGAGCTGGAGAACACACCTGATGTTGTTAAAGTCATACGTCTTCCTCGCTGACATATTTGATTAACAGGATTTATGACTCAGGACAAAAACTCCAGCTAAAATGATTAGCAGTCGTCTGTTGAAATGACGCTCACATGGTAAAAGGACATGCTGCTGACAAGCGAATATATGTCAAATATAAGACAGCAGATCATGGTTGAGTGACAATCCTCAACAAGGTAATCCTTCAGAAAATCTACACATCCTATACACAATGAACTCCTTCAAGAAAGGACCATCCCACACCTGTGCAGAAAATATTGATAAAGCGTTCCGACGGCTGTTCCTAAAACACATCATACTGACTGTTTCCCTAGTCATATTTTCCACATGCAAATAAAAACATTGTATATTTTGTATCCATAATGGTCTGTGATGATGTGTTTTGGTTTGGGAGACAGAACAGCTGTAGCCCATCTGCTCCGTTGAGGGAGGTTTGGTTGAGTTTTGACACATGTAAAGTATGAGGAGACGTTGCCAGTTTCTGACCAGCTCCATTTGCTTCTAATTTGCAAAACTGTGCTCTGTGTGTTGCATTAGTATTGTGGTCTCATTAACCATTTCTTCACATTACGTCATTTTTCCTTGCCTTGAAAACTCTCAAAACATTGTTATAGGCCAGTTAACCCCTTCATGACTGAGGCCTTTTTCTCATTTTTTTTGCACCCATGTTATATTCCACATTTTAGGCCTGAAAATGACTTAAAACCCCCAAACATTATATATTTTCTAAATGACAAGACCCTATACAATATAATGGTGGTAGTTGCAAATTTTTGTGTTGCGCAATATTAGCGCAACTCCTTATTAAATCCCAACATTTAGTGAAAAATTTAATTAAATGCCCCAAAACACAACAAAATACCCATTTTTAAATGAAATATAAAAGATGAGGTTACAATGAGTAAAACGATACCCAACATGCCCAGGTTACAAATTGTGTGCGTCCGTGAAACTGCAGTACCCCAAAAAGTCCATAGAAGACGCTTTAAAAGCCCCCACAGGTCATCCATTTTTTTTTTTTTTTCAATCAGATAGTTTTTATTCGTTTTTGCATAATAGAAAATACAAAAGACATTAACAGAAACAAAAACCACAAAGAAAAAGAGAGAGAGCATCCATAGCCATGAGAGCCACATAATGTAATTCGACAAGAACACATCGCCCACCTATAAAAGAGCACATTCAACATCAATTATCCTGAAAGCCTCGTGTGTCCCCTACATGTACATCTCAACACACCCCTACCTCCATCTCCCCACCTTGTACTCCGGGGCCTTACGGGTTTGACAAAGTACTGGGATACCGACATCAATGGTCTCTAGGAGAGGAGCACGGATGTCATCTACGCAGATATGTCCTGTCCACGGTACGTCAACCAATTATCCCACAGAACTTTAAAAATTTTTTTTATTATT